TCCCTTGGTAATGCAATGCTAAATGCACATAAAATTTTAGTGAGAGAATCTTTCCATTGCTAGACAAACAAAATTTAATGATGGAAACATTGTATCGCTAATATCTCATTAAACTCTCCTGAGAATAAAAACAAATTAGTAAAGGAATAACTACATCACTAATTCATCACTTAATAACATATAGAATTAGTAAGGGAAAAGTTACCCCACTAATCCAACGGTAAATGATCCTGTATGCAAATGAAAATAGTGAGGGATATTGTTGGTGGCTAATCTTTCACTAAATCCAAATTCTATCCCAAATCCCTCACTAAATAACATATAGATTTTTGCAATGGAATTCTTTACTTACTAATCTGTCACTAAATTCCAAAAGATATAGCAAAGACATAGCAAGGGAATTCTTTGCTTGCTTATTTGTTACCAAATTCAAAAATGTATAGCGAGGCAAATATTTGGTTGCCAATCCATCACTAAATAATGTAGAGATATAGTGATGGAATATAATTCCTAGTAATCCATCGTTAACTGCAATAAAATATGGTGAGAGATTATTTTCATCACTAATCCCTCATTATATCTTTAGAAAAAGTTAAGAAAAAATTAGCATGAGATTTCAAACTCATTGACCCGTCATTACTCCTCCCTAACTTAAAAGAAAATTGCAAGGGGATTATTCCCTTGCTAATTTAAATTTTAGCAATGGATTTTTTCTGTAGCTAATCCATAAATAGTATGCAATAAAATTAATTGTTATGTCGCAATAAAAATAAATTTTATGTATGTTTTTAGTAAATTTTTCTGTTTATATGTGTGTTGCGTGTGTGTGTTTGTATTTATGGAGTGAAATTCCAATTGAAATTGAAACTACTAGATAAGATCAAATTGAGCCAAATTGGTTTAGGACTAAGCGTTTGAATTCATTGTCGGCTAACTCTGCCACCCCAAATCATATCGGTATTGAATTACCCTTGACCAGCAAGTACTCACCGTTCTCAAATCATCACACAATAATTAGCCTATCTGATCCATTATGGCTAACACCATCCCCTTCCAAAGACATTGCCAGTATTCGGCTTTCAACCTTGTGCGTAAGCATTCCGTTAGGACACTCGCCGAAATACCCTACTCAAAGCTCCTACTCCCACTTATGCATGCATTAAGAAATTACTTTCTAATCATCAATTTGAATTTTATCACATAATTTTGTGGTTTTCATGAACTTATATTTTCAAATTATAGCTTGTCATTTTCCACTTTCACCTATGTCTCTTCACTCATTTTTATACCATCCTTGCAAAGCCCACTTTCTTCACATCCGATAAAAAGCAATGATTCGATTTTCAAAATCTTGCATTAACACACACATTCACAGATGTCAACGCACTCCTTTCAACAGAAGAAGGATTACAGAGGTGGTAGAGAGGATCACAATGGCAAAGCCCTCTGAAACCCTAGCCCTAGTCTTCAAGAACTCGCTAGTGGCGGAGATTTTTCTCAAGAGGTCCGCAGGGAAGGAGAATTCCACTAAGGACACTTTATGGGGTAAGGCTCTAAGGTGGCAGCGCAGAAATTGGGGATTCGACTTCTTTCCTTCTTCATGATCGACTAGTAACCTCCCTCTCCCTTCTTTCTTTCCTCGCCATCCGTATATATACATTTTTGTTTGTCCTGTTTTTACTTTCAATTGGCATTTGCATAGTATTAGTGGATTGGTTGCTTTTTTTTTTTTTTTATTTGTACAATATTTGCTTTTATGATGTAGTCTTTTTCAGTCTTCACTGCTACTGCCAACCAAACCTCTCCCCATTTCCGTCTTTTCTTCTTTTGAATTTTCTGCTTAGGATTACAAATAATCTGAAGTATGAGACCAGTCCACTAATTCACGAGAATAAACATCAAAAGGAATCCGATTGTACATAGGTCCCATGACCTTGTGCGATTAGTCCACTACAGTCAATGTTTTTAGATGAATTTGGCCTTCCTATTTCTCTTGTTTGGGTAGACTAGTCAGTTTTAGTTTTTGGGACATGATGATTGATGCGCAAAATACCGCCGGCGGGGCATTCGTGCACCATCAAGCTGGCACTCTCAGTAATTCCTTAAGAATTGTTTAGGACCTAAAATTAGAGAAGGACTTTTTAGCGACAGAAATTGGGGACAATTTTTAGTGATAGCATCTACAAAATTAAAGAAGGAAGTTTTAGAGGCAGACATTTACTGACCATTTTTTCTGTCAGTCAATCAGCCGCTCATTGGCTTTAGCGATGGTTTGTTTTGATTTAGTAAAAAAAATTCTCTATCTCTGAATTCGTATTTTCTTGTAATGATGGGGAAGATTATGTCCTTTTGCCCTCTAATAAATTATTATTTTACAACTCAATATACCGCATTCCCCGCTGACGAGAAGAATGGCTCCGGTGAAATCCTCAACAGGCACATTGACAAAATGAAACATTCTAAAAATAATCATAGGTTTTTGATAATAATAATAATATTTTTATTGGTAGACAACAAAGGAAAGGCTTACATAATTTGATAATTATAATATTGAAACTATAGGGGTTGAAAATGGAAATCAAGGAAAAGAACGACTCAGGCAAAAGAAGCTAATTTGGGGTTGGGAGGATTGACCAGACAAATGTCGAGGAGGCTATCCACCGAAGTGTAGTTGTAGTCAGGGTAGAGCTTGGATGCTTCTAGATCTTTCTCTTCCAGCTCAAAGCTTAGCTGAGCTCCCTCCACGAATATGTTGTGAAGGATCGCCATTGCTATGTTGTCCGGCCGTGGCAAGCCTGCAAATATTGATTAATTTTTAATATCTATTTGCTTTTATTCATAAATTTAATTTAAGATTACTTACTGCGAGTGAGTTGGATGATTTGTTGCTCGGAAGATGAGTAATTTGAAAAGTGCGTCCGGTCTTGATCTGCCAAGAAGAAACAAATCTAGCTGGGAGACAACGTTGGCGGGGGGCCTTATGATTAGCACCCGGTTCCTGGCCCTTGGATCTGTGGCAGCTTTGATCGTGTATGCTGCACGTCTTCCTCGTAATGGACCGCTGCCACCTCATACATCAATTTGTTAAGTCCTTAATATTTTTAAATTTAAAATATATTTTTTGTTTAATTTTGTAAATTAATTTTTATTTTTACTCTCTCTTTATGTGCTCTTTCATCCCTTTTATTTTTTTCTTTTTTGGCTAAATCAAAAATACTTTTTTTTTTTTTTGTTTGTCACATGAACAAATTTTGTTATGTAGAACAACAAAGTGAATAATGGAGTGAATTTATTGAAGCAAAATTACACAGTATAAGTGACATAATTGCATTTTTTTACTCCTCTTTGTTTGAATGGATGACCAAAATGAACAAATTTACAAGTTCAAGGGTCATACAATAATAACCTGAACCATTATCCCAAAATCAGTAATCAAGATTGATTTTTTCCTCCATGTTTTAGCTTTTAATGTATATACATATATATATATATATATTATTTTAAATTTAAAATTTTTTTAAATTTTTTAAATTTCTAATAGATTAAGTATACATTTGATTTAAAATAATTTTAAATTATTTCTTTTCATATTTATATTTTAACATATCAAATATAATAATATTTATAAGAATTTTTATTTTATTATATTCTCATTCCTCGTTCTATTACTATTTCTATTTCATAAGAATTATTTTATCACGAGATATGTCACTTTTTTCTCTTCATATTAGCAACCCGAGGGGCAAAATAATAATGGGATTCTTTTTTTTTTTTTTTTTTGGGGGGGGGGGGGGGGGGGGCGCATTACTAACACAACGGTCGAGAAAGCATCAAAATTTGTAACTTTGAGGAGTGAAAAAGTCAGCTTTTTAAAAAATACGGTTTTTTACAATTAATTTATCCATCAAACAAGTTGTTTCTGAAAATTAATAAAATATCAAAACCCTTCCTTTCTATTCGTACATGAATAAAATCTTATTTTTTAAACATCAAAAATTCTTTACTTTTTTAAAATAATAACTAACCCATTCCTAATAATTATAATTATAATTTTTTTATAACTACATAAATACATGAATTTAATATTTAATTTCATTTCGGGTTTTTTAAAATAATAAAACTTATTATTTTGTGCAAGCCTCCATCCATTTTTTCACATGAATAAAAATATTTAATTTGAATTTGGCAGATAATATCCAGAAGATAAAAAAAAAGAAAGTGGTGCAAAAGCAGGTAGGTTTCAGTCTTCAGAAAATATCTAAATGAAAAGCACGCATGCGTGTATTGCGTGGTCGTGGTTCTGCCTCACATCCACACACATCAACTCGGCTCTTGCTAATTGGAAATTACGAGAGTGGTGCCTGGTGTGCCCTAAAACGTCTATAAGCGGTGCATGTGTTGCACTCAGTCTGAACACGAGTTTCCATCACTGGGAATTAGCCGCAACCAGAGGTGAATTGACAGTTTGCCCTTTCAAATTATTATCATGATAATCTATTTTATTAAAAAATATAAAATATAATAATTTTATATTTAAATATATATTTATAATTTAAAAACATTAATAATATTAATATATTTATTTAGTTTATTATCATACCTCTTAATTTCATCATTAATTTATCTTAATATCTCTTGGTCATATTCACCTTATTCCTTTTGCAAGTAATTATTGAGAGATAAATTTTTTATTAATCATAATTTTTTTTTGGTTACAGTGAGAACTGTTATTTGTTAGGTTAATTGAAGATAGATTTCTAAATTAATTATATTTTTTGATTGTAATAGAGAACAATATAGGCTAAGAGTTAAATTTCAAGTCTTTTATTCTTTTTTTAAATTATAATAAAAATTATTATTTTATAAATTAATTGGAAAATAATTTTTTAATGAATTATATTTTTTATTGTAATAAAAATTGTTATTTATAAAAAAATATTTACTAAATTAAAATAATGTGTTACAATACGAGATAGGGGAAAGAGCTTTAGCACAAGTTATTTAGCAGAGGTGAAGGAGCTGGGAAAATGATGATGATGATGTACGTACCCCTTAGCTTGACCAGAGCCGTAGATGGTGAGATGGGGAGAAGTTTGTCGAGGATGGAGCAAATAATCAACAAAATAGGCAGCAAAGGAGTTTGGCAGAGACATAAGTGTATGGTATGTGTGCCTCCTGCGTTGCCTTCTTATCTCTTTCTTATTATCCAACAGCTCCTGAAACGCCGCAACGCTCTGACTCTGTCCACTTCATTTCCAAATTCTTGATGGTACAAACCTCTGCTTTTGTTTTTTATTTGATATTATTATTACCAATTTAGAAGTTATATATTCAAAACAAAAAGAATAAATGATTTATTTATTTATACCTTTAAATTGCCAGCTTCTTTGATCGCAGTGATGATATTGAGTTGTTGAAGTGGAGGGGGACTGGCAGCGTTGATACCACCACATCTACCAGTCAAGTGCTGAAACTAGCTTCTCATGGTCCCCCCAATCTCCCTGCATCCATCATGCAATTATCAATCGAATTCATAACCAAAATCCAATTTTATTTTTAAAATATATTTTATAAAGGACATAGTTTTAAATAATAGATATATGCAGAAAAAGAGAGAGAGCGAAGGAGATGGATAAATACGTTAAATAATTGTGACTCCCCATGGACTGGAATTCCTGAAGGAGGAGGAGCTTATGATTGAAACTGGGTAGAGATTGAAAGGAATGAGTTGGTGCTGGGGGTGGTGACGGCGGCGGAGGGAGTGGGCGGACGTAGGCAAAGGTAGGATGGCCCATGGAAAGGCTAGCCCTCACCATGTAATTCCCGAGATAACCAGTTGCCCCAATTATCATTATCTTTCTCTTTTCTTCTACTTCCATCTCTACCTTTTTTCTTCTATCCACGTATACATTCACTACTGCTATTCTTTTCGACCCTCTTCCTCCGCTTCTTAAAATGAATGTCACCTTCCTCTATTTGATTTTATCTTATTATAGCCACTCCGTCCATATTATTAGCTTTCGTGAGAGCCCACAATTTCATTGAAGGTAAAATGGCAAAGTACAACCAAGGGATTGTTTGTTAGTCCATGTTCTTATATTTTTGGTACTTTACTTTTTTTGTTACCAAAAAAAAAAAGATCAGATTTGTGGTATTTAATAATTTTTAAAAATTATAATTTTTCTTGTTTAGTTACTCAAAAAATATTCTATGCAATGTAAAAAAAAAATAAAAATGATTATTTTTTAATAAATTGTCTTAAATTTCTAGAAAGTCCATGATGTAAGCATTTGGTCATCATTTGAACAGTTCACCAACGTATAACTGAGTTTTAAATTTATTTGAATGATTGAAACCTTGAGTTGAAATTATTTGCCTAAATTGTGGTTTTCTAATACTTGAGTGAAGTCCTTCAACTAATGAAAGTGTATAATCCCTTAGACATTTAGAGACTTCAACAATATAATTTTCTTCGGCCATTGTCTTAGTAGGTGTTAAATCTTGAAATTTCTCTTCCAGGTTATGAAATGGCCTTTCATTCTCAGGATCAAAAAGGAGAATATTCAAATCTTTCACACTTTACATGAAATAAAGCAAGAAATTCTACAAACCATAGTTTAAATTCAAAGGACTTCTCCAATGTCAACTTTTCCGCGCCTAACATGCCTTTGAATATTATAAATTGCATATATTCATTGTTCCATCATTTATTTCAATGACTTTCAGATATTGGACTTTTCCATAATTTATTATTATGTTGTTTCAGAAGTTGTTTATTAGGTCAAAGGCTTTTGTTTTTCAACCAATGAAAGTATGTAATCCTAAGAGATTTAGAGACTTCAACAATAGAATTTTCTTCGGGCATTGTTTTAGTAGGTTTTAAATCTTGAAAAGTTTCTCTTCTAAGGTTATGAAATGGCCGTTCAATCTTAGGATCGAAAAGGAGAATATTCAAATCTTTCGCACTCAAGGCTCTGTTCGGTAGGGCTGATTACGCGTGATAAGAATAATTTTATCAACCGTACCACGCATTCGATTGGCGTGTAACGGAACTGGATATAGATATATATCTGTGTTGGCTAGATAACATATCCTACGGTTCTGGGGGATAAAATTTATCCCCCCTGATAAGCTTTACCTCAATACCCTTGCCGTTCTCCCACATCACATTGTGACACCAAAGGCGTTGGGGCAGAGGGAGGACGATGAGACATAGAAGGAGTACGATACACAAAAGGACACTGATGACAAGCTCCGCTCATGGCCGACGACGACGCTCATGGGGTCGCAGAAGACGAGGACGACGGGTTTTGCTCGTGGCCCGATGAGGACACTAGACAACTGACCTAGCTGGAAGGACGACGACGCTGCCACTGTCGATGACGCAGAGGGTGGACGACGACCCACCTGTCGTCAACGACGCAGATGGCAATCCGATCAGGCTAGCTAGCTGACTCCATCGTGCGATCCGATTGGAAGCACTTCTACATCTGGGTTTGTTTTGTTTTTTTTTTTTTATTTTTATAACCCGGATCTGGTTTTTTGTTTTAACCCATATAAGAAATGACTTTTTTGGTAAATTCAAATTTTATCCTACTTTTCAAAATTTTATCCCAATTGTTACCTATTGAACCAAATATGTAATAAAACTATTCAATTCAGATAAATTTATTCACCTTTATCCTATCATACTATATCCTATCTTCCCATCCGAACGCCCCCTAATATGTAATAAAGCAAGAAATTCCACAAACTATAGTTTAAACTCGAAAGACTTCTCCAGTGTCAGCTTTTACGCATCTAATAACACACCCTTGAATATTACAAAATGCATATATTCTTTGTTCCCTAATCTATTTCAACGACTTTCACGTATTGGACTTTTCCATAATTTATAACAAAGTCTAATACCTAAATTTTGAACTTAAATTTAATTGACTTTCAGGGAATCCTCACGCAGATGGGTCCATGACCTTGTGTGATTAATCCACTACCGGATAATGTTTTCTGGATGAATTTGGCCTTCCCAGTTTCTCTTGTTTGGGTAGATTAGTCAGTTTTAGTTTTTGGGACATGATGATTGATGCGTAATAATGCCTGCAGGTCATTCGTGCAACATCAAGCTTGCTCTCTGTAATTCGTTAATAGTTGTTTAGGTCATAAATTAGAGATGGACATTTTAGCGAAGGAAATTGGGGACATTTTTTAGTGATGGCACCTGCAAATTAGAGAAGGAAATTTTAGAAGGCTGACAGTTAATGACCAAATTTTTCTGTCAGTAATAGTCTGTCCTTTTTGCACTCTAATAGATTTACAACTTAATATGCTGCACTCCCCTTTGACCAGAGGAATGGCTCCGGTGAAATCTCAACAGGCACATTGACAATATGAAGCATTCTAAAAATAATCATAGGAGGGTTTTTGACAATAATAATAATATCTTTATTAGTAAACAACAAAGGAAAGGCTTACATAATTTAATAATCATAATTATTGAAACTGCAGGGGTTGAAAATGGAAAATAAGGAAAAGAAAGACTTAGACAAAAGTAGCAAATTTGGGGTGGGGAGGATTGACCAAACAAATGTCGAGGAGGCTATCCACCGAAGTGTAGTTGTAGTCAGGGTAGAGCTTGGATGCTTCTAGATCTTTCTCTCCCAGCTCGAAGCTTAACTGAGCTCCTTCCACGAATATGTTGTGAAGGATCGCCATTGTTATGTTGTCCGGCCGGGGCAAGCCTGCAAATATTAATTAATTTTTAATATTTATTTCTTTTTTCTCATAAATTAACTTAAAATTACTTACTACGACTGAGTTGGATGATTCGTTACTCAGGAAGACGAGTAACATGAAAAGTGCGTCCGGTCTTGAGCACCCAGGAAGAAACCAAATCTAACTGGGAGACAATGTTGGCGGGGGGCCTTATGAATTAGCACCCGGTTCCTGGCCCTTGGATCTTTGGCGGCTGTGATCGCGTATGCTTGTAACACCCAAAACTAATTTTAAAAAAAAAATACTTAAACCACTTTTACTTAGGTTTTAAATTTATTTAAAGGAAATTTTGAGAAGTTTAAGAAGGAGGGAACTGTGTTGAAAATTTTGGAGAAAGTAAGTTTTTGTTAAAAAAAAAAAAAATTGTAGCGGGTTACTATAATAGCGTGCCGTAGCGCTGCACACTGGATTGCGCACTATAGCACGGTGGCCACTGGTTTTGGCCCGCTACAACGTGCTAGACCACGCCATAACGTGCTGGTTTGCATTTTTTTGGCCTTTTTTTAAAAAAATTTAAGATTTTTAAACCCTTCAAGAACCCCTAAACCCTCTTGAACTCCTAAAAACTATAAAACAAAGATTTTGGAGATATCTTAGGGTACTCAAAATTCATCCAAAAATTCATTAGAATTAAAAATGAAGATAAGTTGAAAAAGGGCAAAATGGTCATTTGAGGTGAGTGACCATTTTATTAAAAGAGTGAGCTGCCTTCTAGGGCTTTCTAAAAGGTTATTCCTGTAACTTTTAGAGAGAGAGAGAGAGAGTGTGTGTGTGTGGAGAAGAGAGAAACTAGAAATAAGGGAAAAAAGTATGTATTTTGGCTCAATCTCAAAACCCATTTGGTTTTTTTTTCAATATTTTTACATGTTTAGCTTCCTCTCTTCGTTTTATAACTTTTAATCAGTGTAAAATTTGTATTTTGATGTTATTGTGTGTTGTAAAGAGAGAAAAGTGGGTTTAACCTCACCCATGGAATATTTTGCATGAATCTTGATATTTCTAGTTAAGTATCCTTAAATATTGTTTTACTTGAGAATATCTATATTTTCATGGCTGGATTAAACCTTGAATGAAGTATTTATGGTTGAAATGTGAAAGAATGGGTGAGATGATGATAAAATGGAATAAGGGCATATTTGGTTGGAGTTGAAATAGGGGAAAATGGAATAAGTGCATGTTTGGATAAAATCCAAAGGTTAGAGAGGGAGAAAATTTGTATTTATATGTTGTAGGATATAGTTATTATTTTCATATGATGTATTTAGAGCTTTTCTCTCTTGATTGTGTATCCCACTTGCAGGAGAGGATACCCCAGTTACTTCAGACCCGGACCTATAGCTCTAGAAGCACCCTTATAGACTTATTTTGCAAGGTGAGTGGGAATCTTCCTAATCCTAGTAATTTTTTCCAAACTATGATTTGCAATAAACAATGATTATTTTAAACCTAATTATATGTTACCAGTATGAACATGGGAAACAGTCTAACTATGATTTGATTTTGGTTATATGCTTAATTTGATGTCTTAGCACCTAGACCATAATGTCGAACAGTCATCTAGGGCAATTGACAGTTCTACTTCATTATATGATATATGTATATTTATTTCCTTAATGAAATGGACTATGCATCAAAGACTCTGTTAATTTGGCCGGGGAGTGGCGACCCCTAGCACGGGTT